GAGAGAGAGAGAGAGGAGTTAATGCGACTATAATAAGCAATTCCTGCCAGTTTATAAATGTCACAATTTTATCTTAAACGTGTGATAAGAAACAAATAAAATGAACTAAGAAACATGACAAACTGCAATAATCTCTCAAATGTTCAAAGCTCAAGAATCAAAATAAAAGGAAGAAAGAAGAAATTATATTTAAAAAATAAACGGCAAGAAAAGCTTTAAACTTTTTCTCACCAATAGAAAGTCGCCATAAACGAAAAAAAGAAACTAAATGCTTCACAGGAAAAGTATTCCAGCATTAACATAAAACAAAGTAAGAGAGGGGAAAACAAAGTAAGAGAGGGTTAAACAGAATAAAAAAGAGAGGATTAAACAGAATCAAAGAAAAACGCCATAAAGTCACAAAAACATAGAGGAAAAATTAAACCATTATCTCATAAAATTATAAACTCAAATAAACATTACCTTAGCAGTTGGATCTTGAGCCTCGACCAAAGCCCTTAGCAATCCCACTTTGTTCTTCTCCATCTCATCTCTTTTATCACTCGTTTCAGAGTCTCCAATATAATTCTCCATTTCCATCCACGCTCCAAGCTCTGCGAAACCCTAGCCTCCCAAAATATCCTAATTCTAAACAAAATGCCAATTCCTCCAATTCTCCAAGTAAAAACCAGTACCTGAACAGCCCTAATTCACCGTAAAGTGCCCAACCTCAGCAAAATGTCAAATTCTTTCCACAATGCTCAGATCTCTGCTAATAGATAGTAGCTCAAAACCCCTGATTATCTGCAGAATGTGAATTTCTACAGGAAAAAACTAGCCACTGGAAAATCCATATTCCCCACGAAACCAAGTTCTCTGCTCAAAACACCGGATTCCCCGCCCCAGAACACAGACTCTATGTGAATAAACCCTAATTTTCTGTAAAGATCACCGAGAGGCCATGGCTTAAAAGGAGTGGAAATGGAGGGAATGAAGGTCACGTCAGAAGAAACGGACACTAATAATGATTTTCTCCCCAGTCATGGCGAAGGTACGATTACAGTTGGGGCTACAAAGAAATAGAAAGAGAAGCAATTAAGAACGCAAGGTAATGTCCATTCCATTTTCGCGGCACGTTCAATATTTAATTGAAGTGGGCGAACTCCGGGTCTTCATTGGTACTTTGGAGCGTTGTCCGTCCACGTCACGTGGCTCCTTTTTAAAAGGCCAATAATTATTTTTATATTTTATGTTTTTAAAACTTATAAATACTCTCATATGACTCATTACTCTTATATTTATTATTATTATTTTTTAACAGTCATAGTATCTTCATAACTTCTTTTTTCAATTATTTAAGGTTTGAATCCTAATCTATCAATCTACGTGAATATAGTCTTTCAATCTACTATATTAAATGTCATATCGTGCTATAGATCATCATATCTTTTATTTGTGTGATAATTAAAATTTTTCGATTAAATTCATTCTTAATTCTATCTATTTTTGTCTTACCATTCATTTATCTCAACATCTCTGTTTTGAAAGTTAGACTTGTGTGATATAGTCCATATATATATATATAAAAAAAAGTATGGGTGATGAGAAGTTGAAAATCCGACCGTCTAAAACGCTGTAAAAGAGGTCCACTTTTTGCCTAAAAAAAGAGCTGGTTTTTTTAAAAAACGTTGACGAGCTGGTACGCTATTAGCGACGCCTTAGAAAGAGCGCCTCTCGCTCTCTCTCTCTCTTGGATTTTCTCTCTCTCCTACTTCCTAAAAAAAGAGCTGCACTCTCTCTGCTCGCACCCTTTTTTTTCTCTCTACTAGTGCTGCGCCCTGTCATTGTTCTCGGCCTCTGGCATTCTCGCTACTCACACCCTCTCTGCCTCTCGCGCTCTCTCTCTCCCTCCTACTTCCTAAAAACCAGATGCACTCTCTCTCTCTCTCTTGCTGCTCGAGCCATATTGCTGCTCGCCAAGAGAAGCTTCTCGCTGCTCTCTTCATTGTACCTCTCTGCAGCCCACCCCATCTATAAATGTACTCTCTCTCCCTGTATTTGCAGAGCGTTGCAAAAACCTCAATTGTAGCTTTTTTGTCATGTCTCTATTTCATCGTCTTTTGATGCTATTCTAAAGCAAGGGATTCAAATAGCTTGCAACCCCTCTCTTCCACCACCTCTGCCACTGTAACTTTAGGCCTTGAATCCACCTTGCTTATGGAGTATTATGTTTTAATGTAGTGTAGCCCAAACATAGGCCCTTCCAAAAGTACGTTTTCTCACCAATGACCTACATTCGTACTCTACTCATGAAGCCTAATCAACAGTCTATTCATCCATTCCATGCACCTGAGAATTCTCCCTTTTGTCCAATGAGATCTAAGAAACCTTCCACTTTCATCTACCCCATAATCTCCCGCTACAATTCATAAAGACAAATATGAAATGGAAGCCAGCTTCTGGAAAACAAGAAATATTCCCTTCTCAATATAGGGAACACAACACTTTCTCCACCATTTAAATAAAACTTTGGCTCCCCTATCATCCACAAGCTTAATCAGATCTCAGGAGCTCATTTCCAGACTCACATCCTAGTCTATAATGCATAACTATTGGAAATAAAAAAGGAAACCGTGTTATACAATAGAAAAAGGGGCATCAAAAACAGCCAAATGCATGAAATTAAAAGCATCATTGGAAACTTCAGTATAGTATTGAAGTTTTAGAGTCTATGATGAGAAACACATCCATCTTTTTTTTTACTGTATTTCTTGTCTATTATTGATTCTACATTTTTTGCCCTGAAAATGCATAGATTAAGCTTCATTTGATTTTCTGTTTTCCCTGGGGTTGGGATTCCTTTTTTCCTTTTGAAGTGTACATGATTCCTCTTCTTTTCATGCATGGTCAATGTTTTCTTTTCCTTTTGATGTTCTCTCGTATTTATGAAGCTTTAGTAGGATCTGTTGGTTTCATACCCTATTTGTTGTTTTTTTATTGTTATTTTCAATATGATCTTTCTCAAAATTGGAAGTGCAAACCTGTTTGTCTTTATAGTTTGAATCTCCGCCAATCAAATAACCAATATTTAGGCTTAAATTAAATAAAGAGTCATTCTTACAATTAGGTATAGCATGAAAGGAATGGCTGAGGTTTTCATGTGTGTTGATGTTTCCCAAAATTTTATGCTTTTTTATTATATAATGCGAAGTCCTTTTTTTTATGGCTGATTTTTTTGATTTTTATGTTGATTTTTCTCAGAACATGTTTTTGCTCTTATTTGTTTGTTAATTGATATTTATGCTGACATTTGAAGGTTCAATAATAGGTTTTTGCTCGTAATAGGATTTTTCTCAAAATATTTATTTGTCAAAGAATAGGTTTTTTGCTCAGAACATGTCTTTGTTCAAGAATAGGTGTTTGCTCAAAATATTTCTTTGTTAATTGATGATATTTATGCAGATTTTTCTTAGAATAGGTTTTGCTCAGAATAGGATTTTGCTTAGAATGTTTGTGTCACACCCCAAGAACTTACAATACAGATATTCTTGAGATGTGACAGTCCAAAACATATATACATCTCTTGATAGAACAAATTTACAGTGGCGAGGTCTTACAAAGTAACAAAAGAAAGCTAGCACAACAACAATAACTTCCAAGGTTGATCTTGACTAGCACTCAAAATGAATCCGTAGTTATTCTGAAAAAATGTTTACCATAGTTTGATGAGTTTGGCTACTCAGTAAGTGATCATCATAATTCTAAAAATAATCATCGATGAAAGATATAAACAAACTTTCAAAATGGAAGTCAATAAAAAATAATGCGAGCACTAGCATTTATAGATAACAATTTCACCTTTAGAAATGCACAATTAAACACAATCCAAATGATTGAAATGCATATAACACTTTAACAGCAGTGCATAATTAAAAGGATTTCACAAAATACCCTACTGGCGTCCCAAGTAGGTCACCTATATACCCCATCAGCGTCCTGATGGGTCCACTTAATCCCTATCGACGTCCCAGATAGGTCCACTTAATCCCTGCAGGTCCACTTATACCTCACCGGTGTACCGGATGAGTCCACTTAATCCCTACCGACGTCCCAAATAGGTCCACTTATACGTCACCGACGAACCGGATGAGTCCAGTTGCATACTTAAATTATTTCTAAATCTCTTTAAACATTCGAAAGCAGGGATATCATGTACTCAATATATCACTAAAATCATTAATATGAATTTCATTGAAACCATTAATAACAGTCACTTTCAATAACATTTTAAAAATAACCAATCAAATATTTGGGCTCAAATTTAGAAAGGTAGCAGTTCGTAAAGATATTCTACCATAATTGCCAATCTAATATGTATAGAAAAACTCTTATAGAAATTCAAGAATACGGAATTATCACAATTTATGGGATGTTAATTTGCAAATAAACATTTCACAACAATGCTATAATCAAATACAAAAATATCAATTTTCAGATAATAAGGCAGTCATTTGCACATGAAATTCACAATGTCTAAATATTTAAAAATAGTAGAAAGAAATCTCACAATTTTACTAAAAGCAGAAATATCACATTTATTTCTAATAATTTGAGAGTATCTAAAATTTTCTAACAATAGACAAGAAAAATAAATAAATTTATTTTTTTAAGAATTTACAGCATTTAAAATTTCTAACATAGATAAAATATCACAAGTTTTATTAAAAAGATTATTTTTCAAGATAATGAGGTCGCGTACGCATAAAATTTATCGCGCCTAAATTCATGATAATAAGCAGAAATAATTATTTTATTTTATTTTTAAAAAGAATAGATTATTTTTCGAGACAATGAGGTCACTTACATACAAAACTTATAAAATAAAGATCCTAGACGAAAATATCACTATTTATTAAAAACATAGTATTTTTCAGGAAGACGATATCACTTACACACAAATATTTGAGAGGGAGCTTTCGATAAAAAATTCGGTTCGAGAGAGGAGTTCACTGTGTTTCGACCAGAGAGAGAGAGATCTCAAAATTTTTTAGGGTGGGAGTGCTCACCTCCCTTATTTAAATTCTTATAACGTATTATTATATTATTTTATTAGGCTCTACCTCATACCTGAGGTGTCCCGTTAAAAGTCCGTTTTTAACATATGAAAACCACGTCCACTAAAGGGCGTGGCAAGCAGCAAGCAAGAGTTTAAACCAAGTAAAAAATTTTGAAAATAGTGATGGTCCCTAAAGACCATCATGCTCAAACGGACCATCACCTATTTAAAAGTATCTTTTCTTTATTTTATTTTATTTTATTTTATTTTATTTTATTTTATTTATTTATTTATTTTTTTTTAAATGTTAGGATTGTTACAGTTTGTTTGTTAAAGAGTAGGTTTTTCGCTCGGATCAGGCATTTGTTCAAGAATAGGTTTTTGCTTAGAATATTTCTTTGTTAATTGATACCTATTATGATTTTTCTCGAAGTAGGTTTTTGCTCTTATTTGTTCGTTAATTGATATTTATGCTAATTTTTAGAGGCTCAATAAGTTGGGTAAGTTTAATTTATTGGTAAATGATTGGATGAGTGGTACATGCTTTCACAAATGGTGAAATTTGATTAAATTGGTTCTTCTTATTTTTTTAGAAGAAAAATTGGATTTTTGCTATATCACTTGTGTCGGTTCAGCTATGATGTGGGTCTTATGGTGTTTGATTTTCTACGTTTTTTTTTTTCCCCAAATAAGTGGTTCTCCATTTGTTCCACTTATTTGGTTATAATTGAATGGACATTTGTCATAGCGTTTGAGTTGGTTCTGTAAGAGGTTTTTAGTATATAGTTCTTATTGGTTGATAGTTTTCTTGCCATGCCCTTTTCCTAGTAGCCATATAATGCTGAATATATAAACTTTTGCATGTTGCATAATGTTTTCCTCTAATTTGTCAATTGTCCTCATCTTGCCTCATACTTTTGCTTTTGTCTCTACTTTCATGCTATTCTTAAGCTGAAGGTTTGAATACATGTATTTTTGTAGTTTGCAGTTTGGCGTTTAAGTTAAAAACTGAGATGGATCCCATGAGTTCAGTCGGTGTGCCATCTAGCACATGCCCAAATGTAGGCAGCAATGATGAAAT